AACTTTTGGCCACATTTACTACTTTTTATATCTTATGTTTTGGGGGGTGCGTGGGCCTCTTTGTCTGTTGGTACCTTGGAACTATATATAAATATACAGGAACTATATATAAATATACAGGAACATACAGGAACTATATATAAAATGTGTGGACTGTATATAAACCACCAGGACCTGCTTTGTCCAAAAAATGTGTTGACCTTAATGCAGGCGGTCCAAAATTGAGAACCCTTTTTTCTCCTCTCTAAGAGGTCCCTTGCTCAATTTGCACACCTTTCTGTGGCACTCCGCACTACAGTTGAAAGAAGTTCTTTGCAAACATCATTTGTTTGCACCCCAAAATGCTCAGCTCAAAAATGGCTGATTTAAGAATCTAAGCCCGAACTCAAAACTCTTCAGATTGCAGCCTCACCCTTCTTCTTTCTTGCCGCCTTGACCTTGGGTTCGGCCTTGGCGCCGGCACCAGCAGCCGGTGGTGTCCGCTTAGCTGTCCTCCGCTTTGGTTCTGGTTGAGAAGGCAGCTTCTTTCCCAACAACTCGAACCTTGTCCTCAGCTGATCGGGCAAGTCCTTCACAGACATCCCAAGGCTCTTGCTGATGAAGCCGGCTGACTCCCTGGCCGCTTTCAATTGCTCCTCCGGTGGTGCGCTCTCATACTCGACCACTGTCTGGGTGCAACCAATGAAGGCAATCTGGTTCTTGGCCACGCCTCGAAGTTCCTATCAACAGAGTTGAACAACATTGACTTAGTCAAGTGTAGATGAGCAGTGATGGGATGGAGGGACAATTTGTTTATAGTTTTTGAACAGCAACCAGCCTCCAAATCTGACTGTGTCTGAGACAGCTCCAACATCACAGGATCGGACTTCAAGGAAGGTGTCTTCAAAGCCATAGAGTTTCTCAAGAATGTGCAGTGGGGCAACGTCCTCTCCATGAAGTCCATGAGCAGTTCAATCAGCGCTTGGGCATCCTTGTTCTCCTCCTGGAACATCCACTTATGCTCATCCAGCTGCCACATCTCAATAGCAGCAAGCACTGGCCTTCCATAACTCAATGTTTGGAAAAACATTTGGCATGACAAAGCCCACTCAGTCTGAGTCTAAACATATAACAAAAAACTTGAACACCCGAATCCCGAATCCCAACTTGAAAAACACAGTCCGCCTGTGCTGGTCAATGTGGACCTTGGCTTTGTTGGTCTCGGACTTCCGGAACCTCTGCAAGAATGTGATGATGTTCTTGGACGTGTGGTCCTCAAACTCCACCACCTTCTCCAAGCGCTCAGGGAAGAGCTGACTCAAGGCCTTGTGCTGAATGGATGTCTTGATGGTGACATAAGCCTTCAACTGCTTTGACAACTCACTCAGGTCATCTGTGGCCTTCGGTTGAGTGAGCCCTTCCAGAAACGAAGCTTGCATCAAGATGGACTGGTGAGACTTCAAGTACTTGGGAAGATTCGGGAGGCAGCCATTGACATAGCCCCAAGCGGCATCGGCACCTTTCTCCTGCAAAACAGCTGCAATCCACTTGGAAGCAAGCGCCTCCAAATTGGTGTTGAAGCGCTTCACGGCTGTCAAAAATGCATGAGCCCAACCATCCTGGGCCACTTCCTTTGCAGTGATCCTGGCAGCCAACTTCTCAAGTTTTGATGCAAAGTCACAGCACGCACGCAAAGCCAAAGACTCGGCATTGGGACAAGCAAGAATGTAGTCATAGAGGGCCTGCGCTGTTTCCTGCAGAAAGCTGTTGTCGCCTGCAAGCTGAAGAACTCGTGTTTGGACAGCTCCTGCAGGTTTATGGAAATTATATGCCCCAGCCACTACTCCAACAAACCTTAAACTTGAACCAGTAAATACACATCATCACTGCACATCATAAAATCGGAGTTTCAGTTTGGCAACCCTGACCCACCCTCACCTTCAACAGTCAGGAATCCCAAAAAGCATCTCACATTCATCTCAACCTCCTGGTCCCCACTGCTGAATGCCACTGTAGCATCAGGCACTGTGAGGTCGTCAGCCGCAGCCCAAAGTGATTCCACGAAGGACCTGAACTTGTCAGATGCACGCAACGTGCCATTGACTGTCTCTTGAAGTAGTGTCACTGCTCGCGTCAAAGACTCAACCTTCCCAGGAGCAAGTTCATGCGTCGAAGTCTTGCAAATGCTCACCAGGTCCAATGCTCGCTGGCATTTCTGGATCTGAGTTTCTGCCTGCTCCAGGGCCGGAGTGTTCTTGTCCTTCGCAAACTGCTGGAGCAGCTCACCCAGCACTGTCAAGTCTGAAACCATTGTGTCGCACTCTGCAAGAGCATTCTCCTCAGAGATGGAATTCTGAGAAGCTGTCAAGGCCTGTTGCCAAAGGCTCCTGCCCAAATGTGAGTTGCCAAATGTCAAAAATGTAACGTCTAATTTAGTTAAGTTATGATTAGAATAAAACAAATTGGCCTTGCCGGCTACAGACCAGACCAGGGAGAACTGAACATTGTGGGCTCCTCGGACGCGGATTGCTCCGAAACATCAAGTTCACACGAGGTGAAGTGGCACTTGCCAGAGCCGCAATGGTCTTCAGGCTCCTGACCAGCTCAATGCCAAATGGTTCCTTCTCATCCAAAACTTTGGCACAGCTCAGGAACTTGTGAAGGTCAATGACGACCCTGGGACTCAGCACTTTGTAGTCTTCGTGAAGGGCATCGCTAGTGGGATGTTCTGCACATTTCCTGCAGGGAAGGAAACAACTGCATTTGGACAATGAACATGGCCCCGCCCCTGACCCGGCCACAACTCCACAACTTCTGACATTACAAGCAACATGCCCTGTTCCCCCTGAGCGTAACTTCACAACTCTGGCCTCGCAAGCTCTGGATTCCACAGCTTGCCAGGAATTGAACGCAGAAACTTGTCCACGTCTTGTGGCTGCAATGACTTAATCTTGTCCATCCATGCGTTGCCAAGTGAGCACTGAAGCTTCAGCAAGTCCACCAGACTCATAGAACAAGAATCGCGCCGACAGAGCAAAGCCCGCAATGAAAGCCCCTTATCCTTGGCATTCACATCCGCATCATCCGAACTGATGAAGTCGAAGAAAAAGGTATCTGCCACGGACCCCTGAGCCAAGTCCTGCAGTCAAGTCAAGTCAGAAGTCTTGCAACACTGTCGGAAGGGATGCTAATTTGATTGGAGACTGGCGGGTACCCATTTCTGATTGGGCCCAACCAGGAGAGGCAAACAGTGAAAAGATGAAAGGACGAAAGAGGTTGCACAGTCCTGGATCACTTTTTTGCCAATATCACTCATGATGGCATTCAAGCAGTCTGATGGCATTTTGGCCACCTTGTCGACAACATGTGGCAAAATCTTGTCCAACTCGTCCAGAGAGTCATAGGCCATATCTGTGCAAAGGAGCTGCACATGGGTCTCGGCAGCCATCATGGACGTCTGCAAATCAGCAATGAGAGACTTGGCATCATCACGGCCATCCTTCTCAAGGCTGGTGATGACCTGGCCGGCCTTTTCCAATCGGCTTCCAATGTCCTTTTCCTTCACAGTGCCCTGCCAAATGGCCATTGGAGACAATGCCTCCAATGTGCTAAGGGTCGACTTGGCCTTCGCCAACAATTTCTCATGTTTTTTCTTCTGCCTCAGGCTTCACAGGACCTCTCGATGGTGCTGTCCTGGCATCAGGCTGCTTCTCCTTGACAGGCTTCGCGTGTTTGACCCCAAAGAAACCACTGCCGGAGGATGCATCAGATTCGGCTTCACTGGGCATCTCCTCAATGGGGTCCACAGCCTCCTCGGGCTCTTCCGACATGGCCTTGTCCACCACGTCCTGTCCACTTTCTGATGACAATGGAGAGGGGGAGGGAAAAGAGATGCAAGCACCTAACTACCCAGGAAAACATATGAGTTTGCTCAGCTCCCTGAGTTGTTTGTGTGCCCCCAACTAAACCTGTGGTGGGCATTGCAACCCCCGGTCAAACCCATGCATTCTGGCCTTGTCATTGGACTGAATTGCAAAAGATTGTGCATCTTTCTTCTGCTTCTCGTCACGCTCCGCATGGTTCTCGAACTCGGACCGTTTGATTGAAGAGCTCTCCATTTTTGCACCAACACGAACCTTCCGCTTTTTGTTATCTGGCATGATGATGACTCCATCCACTCCACGGTCATCCTACAGAAAGGGTGAGGTCGAAAGCTGTAGTTTTGACTGACCTGTGGCCTGAAACAAAACAATGCGGCACCCAGGGTCCTGTTGGATGACCAGACCCTTCTCTTGAGCTTGGGCTAGGGATGAGATGCGGATGTTTTTCCAATGTGTCACGGACATGGACGAGGGTCAAAGGGACGGTGGCTAGCCTGTAGCTATAAAATAGCTAACTTAGGCTGGAAGAGGTGACTGCAGGCTGAGCTTCTTTCACCAGCCAGTTCTTCTTGGCAGCCAAGGTTTTCACGCGTTTTTTAACGTCCGCTGGAGCCTTCTCTTGGAAAAAATCATCCACGCTCATCCACTCTCCCTCCTCAGGTTCAGGCCAAAGCAACGGTTGTAGGAAAAAGGTGGGTACAAGTACAATGCACACTCAAAGAAGCAGCCTTTGAGCACATGTCAAAAGGTTGTCAGTCCCGTCCCGTCTCATTGATGTAAAATGTTTGGAATGTCCAAACCAACACATCAAGACAAGGATCGTTGTAGAAATCAAGGTAATCTGATTTCTTTTTCTCAGTGTACAAACGGACATCGATGCTTTCGTGCCTAGGCCTGGCACGTGGATTCAATGCCGTTTGGTGCACATGTCGGCGACGTAGAGTGCAAAACCTGATGAATGATGACTCTGGCGTTGGCTGACCAAAATTGACCAGGACCAGCACACAACAGACAATGACAAAGCTGACAAAGCGTTCAAAAGCAAAAAATGCCAAATGAGAAGCTTTGCGAACAAAGCCTTGACTGTGTAAAGCATGGTGAGGAATTCCATCAAGGTCAACTTGGCAAACGATCCCCGCTTGATGTAGAAGCATCGTAGACACAGGACGCGGCAGTTGTCACTGGCGCATTTCGAAGCGGTCACCAAAAGAACAGAACCTGGCGGCGCGTCCTGCAAACAGGACTGATTGAATCGCTTCCCATGACAACTGAATTTCAGTTCAACATGCAACATGAATGCATGTGACAACATGTGACTCAAATGCAAAAACATCAGCTGACCTTGTCTTGTGAGCCAAATTTCTGTTGGCATGCAGGGCAGGTACATTCCTCAAAAGGAATGTTCGCTTCCTGGTCTTCTGTCACCGCCTCCTGCTCAACAGGTTCGCCGCCCTTATGCACCAAAGACATGGCTGGCCGTCAAGCAACAGCAAGTCAAGTCACGCAAGAACTACGACTACAAGTCAACACAAGCCTCGAATGTCCAAAAGTCAGGGCCAAGACGGAGTGAAGTCAAAAGAACGACTAGCCTTGAACAACATCTGATTGCCGCCCTCCTTCTGTCCGTCTCACACCAAGCAACGTTCAACCGAGCTCAACCCTCAACCAATTTTCAAAGGGTCGGAATGTGGCAGTTGACCATGAATGGACCAGGACCATGACTTGACCATGAAATGTTAGAATGGCCGTGGCCTCACCCTCGAAATAGATTGATTTCTCCTCAACTCTCAGATCGGTAGATTTGGCGGCCTTTCCAGACTAAGGAGTCCAGGAGCGGGCCTGGGATCCTTCAAGTTACTGCATCTTGAGCAGGCAAACCAGGTTCAAAATCAAAACTGCACTGCCCCTGTTCAAAACGTCCTACAGACAAAAGGCGGAGGCAATGCCATTGGCATTGATGCTACTAATGCTGACTGCTGACTGTTTGTCAGTCAGCTAAGGAAACTGAGAATCGTTGCCATCGTCCACGGAGTCCAAGAGTTTGGACAGGTCATCCTGGGGATGGACCGTAGACGTCTGGCCGGGCTCCAAGGCGATGGGCACTTCACTGGGCTTGCTAGTGCTGAGCATCTGGCTAAGAATAGATCGTGAACGCTCCCCCTTCTTAGTACACTTCTGGTCCGTCTGGTCAGTCTCTTCCTCATCCGGAGAGGTGTCTAAGATCTCCCAAGTCGAGGAGGATTCATTGTCCTCAGCAGGTTGCGCTTCAGAAGGCTCAGTCACAGAACCATACTTGCCGAACCTGTTCAGAAGGGGCTGAGGAGTTGTCAAAGGCTTTGCCGGGCCCCCAGTCTTGCAAGGAAAAACGCAGGTGACCAATGCGAAGATTACAGAACCAGCAGCAGGCACTGACCAAGCATTTCCTTAATCCATAGCATCACATCCGAGACATCACATCACATGACCAAGAAAAATATACTTAAAAATCGATGTATTCTGTTACACTGTCAATTGTGCAACTTACAACCCCACTGCTTCCAACACTTAGGAAGGCCAACTGAGGTGGCCATGTGCTGGCAAGCAAGTTTCCAATGATTTCGTTCAAGTCCGAATAGGTGAAGCCGCCGACTGTAATTTTTTGCAAGTCGAACCCCTGCAAGGCCAACAAATCCTGTTGCAATTCAGAAGTTCGCAAAATTATATTACTTGACTTGACACCAAAAACACTGTTTAACCATCCGTCTACCGTCTACCCTTCTAACCCTTCAACCGTGCACCCTCGCAACTCGACGGCAATCATAAACACAAGTCCTCAGCACTCAGCATAGACTTGTTTGCAAAGTCCCACCATTTCACATGAGTGGTGATGGCGGACAGTGACCCCCTCACTCCAACACAAAGTCTTGGAGCACTCCCTCAGTCAGTGAGTGAATAATTATACAATGGCCAACAGGCGGTGTGAACAAACTTCAGAGTACTGCTGACAAGGAACTTGCCAGGTCGGCCAGGCACAAATCAGTGTCTGGGTCCAAGTTGCGGTCCTTGTTTCTTGTTTCGGAGTGCAGTCGCTAAATGAGATACTGGGAGTTTTGCAAGCCCAAGAACCTGGAAATCAAGAGTCCATAGTACTTCACTTCTGAGAAAAACAGTCCGTGCAGCAAAATCCACCCGTCAGATCCCTACTCAGTGGCAACGTCTACTGGACGAAGGCATTGTCTTTAAAGAACGACGTTAAGTTAATTCTATTGGTTACCCGTGGCTTTCAAGATGAGGTGCGACTATAAGCACCGGGGTCAATTGGGATGCAGTGATGCAGTGCAGTGGAACGCTGGCTGGCCCGTTAAAAAATGCGCGTGCACGCCACGTGTTTGTAAATGCTGACCGGTACTTACCTCCTTCCTTTGCCTTCTCCTCACACTCTCCTTCTTACAACAAATACTGAGGAACCTAGGGTGGCTTGTCAGTCCGTTAGTGTTTCTTTTGTCTGCGTGCTCTCTCATGTCTTTACACGCAACTTAAAATGCGGGGTGCCACAACAGACGCGTGCTTCCTTACCTCCTTACCTCGAACCTTACTTACCTCCTTTTCCTTCAGATCAGATTGCGTCAACCAATGCATGGAATAGGAGGTTTCTTGTACTGACGCGACCTTGATGCCGATGTGGCTTTCGAACTTAGCGGCTGGAGTTTTAACTGGTGACTGGGGACTCGTGACCGTTTATGTTTGGTTTTGCTTCTGCTACTCATTCAAGCCAATTCTGACTTGCTTCTTAATGTATACATACTGTACTAGTACTGTAGTACTGTGTGTGTATTAGATTTGGTTGTCTTGAGCTTAAGTCTTACTGCCTTTGGTCAGCCGGCCAGCCAAGTGGCTAGGCCCTGGCCACTAGATGATTAAAGGTTGCGTTTCTTGAACTTTTGGTGGAGTATTTGGAATCTGTTTTGCTATGGAGTTAAGTTAAATTATGTTGTGTTGTTTTCTATGGAGTTATGTTGTTTTCAAAAGCTAAAATAACTATAACTTATTATGTATTTTTGTTATGTTAAGTTATGTCCCTTGTTTTTGTATAAATTGAGAAATGGGTATTCCTATATATAGCTCAGAGCGGTTCAGAGCGGTTCCGGACTACATATAAAGGTTTGAGTTATATAGAGCGCCGAACGGTTTGAAGCGGTTCCGGACTATATATAACTTAGCGCTTATATATAGCTCAGAACGGTTGGAAGCGGTTCTGGACTATATATAGAACTGCTTTCATATATAGTTCCGAACGGTTTGGAACGGTTCCGGACTACATATACATCCCGGACTATCCCGGACTATATGGGACTATCTGGGACTAATTGAGACTAATTTAGTTTCTGATGTGTATATAGTCCAGAACGGTTTGGGACGGTTCAGAGCTATATATAAACATCACTTCATATATAGTTCAGAACGGTTTGGAGCGGTTCCGGACTAAATATAAACATGTTTCCACATATGGCTCCGAACGGTTTGGAGCGGTTCCGGACTATATTTAAATGACTGGGTTAGATATAGCTCGGAGCGGTTCGGAGCGGTTCCGGACTATATATAAATGGATTGAACTTTGACAGAGTCAAAAAAATGACTTCATGATCGAATCATCAGCTTGTAAGTATATTATTATATAATGCTAGAATCTTGGATGGATAGGCAAACAGCTTTTGATCCAATTATAAAGAATCTGGCAACAGAATCTGAAATCCTGAAGGCAGGCAACCCACAACAACACCAGTCACTCGACTCTACTTTGGTACCGAATGAATCGAATGACTTGACCCGGGAACTGTTTGTGTATGCCCTAGGCGGCCTGGCCCCTTTTGTTTGAGCCCCGGTCCAGCCCAGTCCACTGCAGCTGGGTCACACGCAAAACTTCATACAGCAAATCCAGGCTCGCCTTCTCCCTTTGGTTCAACCTCCAAATGTCTGTAGACCCCCAGTCCAGTCCAGCGGTGTAGCGAGGCCGGTCAAGCCCCACTCTGAACTGATCCTCAAGTGACTTCAGGTCCGAGGCAGCCTTCTCCGAAGTTTTGCCATCCTGGCGGGACAGCAAGGAAACACATCTTGGACTATATATAAAGCCGGCAGGAACTATATATAAATGCGCTAGGCGCTATATATAAACAGTTTCCTGTCAAACCCGGGTCAGCCATGAAAATCGCCAGAGCTCCAGCTGGGCCAGGAGCCCGAGCCGAGCCAGGAGCCCGGAACCGGCCCATTCAAAAAGATCCGAGTGATCCAAGGCCCCCGCCCCCCAAAAGAACGCCCAAACATCCTGATTCCTTGTTCATTAGCTGTGAAACATGCCACGCATCCGGTCAAACAAAGTACTGGAAATAGTCCTTGGAGATCACGGGATGTGTTGGCTGCAGCCCAAGAGAACGCTGGACGGCAGCAACATAAGACCGGATTTGTTGGACAGTTGGCGAAGGAGACAGCACCAAGGAAAAGCTCTTTGTGATCAGCTGTACCAAGGCCGACATTTGAGCAGGCTCCAGAAGATCTGAAGCGACCATAAGTATGTAAACCCGTCCTCTTGTCTGGGGCAGGCCATATCGACTTGACCTTTGCTGTAAAAGTCATGGTGAGTCATATAGCGACTTCGATCACTGATCAACTAATCAAAGCATATCTTAATGCCTTCACTTCTCCATCTCAAAAAAAATGCTTCAGCCACTCTGCCCACTCTGTAATCAAATGAACTGTTTGAATTGTTTCTTTGTGACTCAGTGTGAACAAACCCAAATTTGAGCTCAGACTCTCCATTCGCAACACTTCCATGTGGTATCCAGGAATGAGCTTCAATCCAATTTCTTCACCAGCAGGACCCCGGCCGTGCATCATAAAGTCGTAGGCGGACTGGCGCAAAGTGAGACAATGTCAATGTAAAAAATGACTCGATTCAACTGATCTGACTGACCCTGAACCCCCTTGCATCCCCTTGCGCTGTTTTACTTCTTCTGCAGAGCTTCCAGAGTCTTGTTGATCCAGCCTAGAATCTCTGCTTCTGCTGGCGTGGCTTTGGAAGAAGAACAAGCATCACGGTATTGCTTTTGAAATTTGAGCAGTGTTTGGATAGATCTCTCATGATCACTTGCAGTGTGTGAAGAGACTTGGCGAACTAGGCAAGAAGCGTGAATCCAGCCATGTGGCT